AATTCCTGCCCTGACTGGTGTGACTCAGTTGGTTGGTTGTGGTCCTACAAACTGAAAGGTCACTAGTTCAAGTCCTGGTCAGGGCACTTGCTTAGGTTGTGGGTGCACTGTCCGGCAGGGGGCATACAGAAGGCAGCTGATTGATGTTTCTCTCCCTCTCTTTCTTCCTCTCTTCCTCTCTCTCACTGTAAAGAAAAAAAAATTCTGCTTTTATAGAGCCTATATTCTAATAAGAGAAGATAGACAAGAAACATAAAAATAAATGCACCAATTATGTAATAAGTGGGAGGATGATAAGTGCTATGGAAAAAGAAAAATAGACTAGACTGAGGGGAATCAGAAGTGGTGGAGGGACAACGGAGGCATGTAGGTTGCAATTTTAAACAGGAGGTATTGAGTAGAGACTTAAGGGAAGTAAGGGACTTAGCCATTCAGTTTTTGATGGAACAGTGCGTGTAACAGGCAGAGGGAAATACTCCTGGCTAACAACATTAGGTGTCCTGGAGAAACAGCAAGGAGTCATGTGGCTGGAGCCGAGAGAGTGATGAGGGTGAGAGAGAGGAGGGCTCAGAAGGGTTTGGCAGAGGCCATATCATGTAGGGTTTTGTAGGTTCCTTTAAGAACTTAAACTCTTGTGCTAGTTCACAAGGGAGGCTGTGGAAAGGCTACCCTGGGCTCACCTTCTTTGGGAAGGCAGATGCTGGACCTCTCCTTGATCTCTGCATCCAAGTCTCTGGGATGGGACCAGGGAACCACTGCATTTCAGACAAATTCTTTAGGGTGATTTTGCTGAATAATGCAATGAAAGAAAAAAATTCCATAGCATCTCCCAATGTTGGTGTTTTAAGGACTTGGCAGATTATCTAGGAAATGGAGTTGTAGAGGTTCAGTGACTTGCCTGAGGTTATACAGCCATAAGAGGCAGCGCTAGGTTTCAGATTCACCCTTCTCACTCTGAGCTCGATGAACCTTCCACAACCTTCCACTGTACCTGGCTACCTAATAGACTGTATCACTTCACTTATTAGGTGGTTAGATTTCCAATAATCTCCACTGTTAGGAATGTGGTTTGAATCCAGAAGCTCTGTAAGGTTGACTGCTTGATTAAATGTTTGGTTATCTAAAGAATAACCAGAAAGCTGCTATATTTTTAACCTCTATGGTTATGAATCATTCAAAACGTATTAATCGCATATTCTGCTTCTTTAGAGAAATTCTGGAAGAGTCATACCTTCTTAGAGGGAGAAGAGATCTTAATTGTTCAGAGTCTTGCAATGTCTCTGGGTCATGATTCTGAAATAAGCTCTTATTTATATTAGTACAAAACATATAAACCATTTGGCTAACCCTGGACATATCTGAGGTTTAGTTTTTAAAGAAATTTCTGATTTACTTTGCTTTCTTTTGATTCGTTTCTTGGACATTGATAATAACTAATTTTTTTTTCAATTAATTCAATTTTTAAATAAGATATGTTTTTCTTGGCCTTATTCTGTAACTGGAGCCTAAATTTTATCTGTGGTGTCTAAGCCCGTGGATTGCTGGTATCCTGGAATTCACTGAAATCTTGACATGGGAGCCGGTCCGGAAATCACTTACACAAGCAAGAACTCAGGCTTCACAGCTATGCTAGAGGAGGATTTCAGCGAAACCATCTCTCGTCCATTTGCGCACTTCTATAGGTCTCAGTGACCAGATCTGGGCCAGCAATGGGGGCAGGTGACACGTCCCCACTGCAGACACTTGGTGGAGGTTCTAGGGCTACTTTATGTTTTTCCTTTCACTAAGCCAGAATTGGCAGGGGAAGCAGTGACTGGGGAAGGTGTTGAAACTATTGACTACTCAGGGAATGGGAGGAAAAATGCACACCTAACTCATTTCCCTCATTCTGCTGCCTATTCCCGCAGAAGAGTTGCATTCATTGAAAGGCACTGGTGCCAATATGAAATGTTCAGTTAACATACTTAAGCAGCTCAGTCCTTTTCACCAGCAACTTTGAGGTTATGTACCCTGTCAAGGCTTAATTTTTTAAAAAGACTTTATTTATTTATTTTTAGAGAGGGGAAGGGAGGGAGAAAGAGAGGGAGAGAAACATCATTGTGTGGTTGCCTCTCATGTGGCCCCCACTGGGGACCTGGCCCACAACACAGGCATGTGTCCTGACCGGGAATCAAACCGGCAACCCTTTCTTTCATTTGCAGCCTGCGCTCAATCCACTGAGCCACACCAGCCAGGGCTTAATTTTTTTTTAATGTAGAAAGCTCAACCTCAGTTTGTTTCTGGGTAACGTATCCCTTCATAATTGAGCCCCTGATGTTTGCCACCAGAAGATTGGTTGTAATTTCTGTTCTGTCATAGGCTTCTTTCTTTCAAAATCCTCAGTGACCGACTGGCCCTGTTCTCTTCTCTGGGGGGTTTCATCATAGCAGCTGCATTCCTGGAGAAAACCCTGAAAAGGTAGACTGGCATGAAAATTAGCATGGCTCCAAATTTCAGAAAGGCTGCCACTGATAGCTCCATGAAGGATAATGGCCGAAATGGGTCTATAGAAGAGAGTGCTAGATGTGCATTAGGGGTGATTAATTCCCGACCTAACATGACATCAGGGATTGGTATGGACACTAGCGATTTTGTAACTGAACTCTGATGATGCTTTCCCAGGTTCTGAATGGTCCCTTGAAAGTAGAGCAGATGACAGTCATCAGGCTTAAGCCTATTTCAAGTGAATGATTGTCCCTGTCTCTTAGTCTTTACCATTTAATGTGGGGTTCTTAGAGGCATGAATAGGGACGAGGAAGCCTGGACCCAGGCAGCCTGGAAGGTAACTGGTGGAAGCTGTGAGTCCAGGTAAAAGGACTTCCCCCCCAGCTGGGGAGTGCTGCCGGAGGGAAGCCTGCAGCTGAACTGCTGGTCTCACAAAGGGAGTGCCTCAGCTGAAGAGGAAAACCTGCCCGGGGTTGCTGAGGTGGCCTGCAAGCAACTGCAGACCCACGTGGGGGTAAAAACGCCCGTCCTCCTAGCCCGCCCTCAGGACGATGCCGAGGCACCATCTCAGCCTCAGAGTCCTTCCTGCAGGCATGGCCGAGGCGTGCACCGAGGCTGTGTCCTAGCTCAGTTTCTCCCTCTGCTCCATCTTTCCTCCCTCTCTGCCTCCACCAACTCCTCCCTCCTTCCATCCCCTTCCTCTCCTTCCAGGTGTTGATTGCAAGATGGAAAGTTGAAATGTTAAACTGAGAAGAAGAAAAACAAAGGTGGAATAATTAGGTTAGACTAGTGCTTCCTCCTATCCATATCTGAATTTGAGATTTGGGGTGACACCTTGCTTCTCTATGAAGGTTAGAAGTTGTCACTTGAAATCTTCATTCATTTGCTTCAAGGGTTGATGTTATGGAAAGTGAAAGAAAAGAAGAATCAAATAAATTATTTCAAATTAGATACTTCCTTGTGCTTTGCATTGTGATTCTGCATTCTTGCCCTAATGAGCAACTCTACATTGAGTCCGTTCTGGGATATCTCGCTTCTCCCCTGTGCTGCTGTGGCAGCAGGCAGGAATCACCCAAAGACCTGATGAAAAATGGGCAGTGTTGCCTTGCAGTTCTAACCCAGAGTTCCTATCGGGGGAGAATGAAAATCAGCCTTGCTTCTAAAGGTGTTCTTCTCCTTGAGTGAAGTCTGCACTGTGCGGCTCGCCGGAGGGATGGAAGGCAGTTTGACTGCCCTGCCCAGAGTGTGAGGAAAAGCAGTTGACAACGGGAGGCTGGATGGGGTAGAAGCCGGGGTGAATCTTTAGTGACACCCAAGAAAGTGGTGAAGGTTCTGGAAGACAAAGCCGAGAACCACACGGAGAGCTTCTTTCTCTTCTTTCCTTGGACCTTAGGGGAACGAACTGGTGTGTTTAAGTGTTCCTTCCTCCGTAGGGCCTCCCGTCCCTGGGCGCGGACCTGCAGACGATGAGTGGACATGGAATGGACTTCCTCAGAAGTCTCTAGTAGTCTCCATCCCACTCGGTCCTCAGAACGGAAGGGGGAACTGCGGAGGCGGGAGGTCTTTCCCTGACTCTCAGAGCGTACTGGGAGGTGCCCAGTTCGGGTGGGTGGGCTCGGGCTGTAGGGACCCTACTGTTTCGGGATGGCGTCCTGATGTTTTGCTCAGGGATGTGTTACAACGTGTCGGTGGAAGGCTTATTGCGGCGCTCCCCACTCTACACCGCCCCTCCGGGCGCGGCCCCAGGTGTATGCCGCGAGGGGAAGAGGGGCTGGGGCACTGGACGGCGGCCCCAGGATGGGTGCGGAAGGGACGAGGCTGCTGGACAGCGGAGGCGGAGGGGAGGGCGCCGAGGCGTGGTGCCGGCGGCCGCGCACTGGCGCTCAGTGGACGGAGCCTGGCGGCGGGCACGCTCGCCCAGCCCAGGAGAGCTGGGGAGCGGCGGGCGGGGCGGAGGGGCGCCGTAGGGCCGGAGCAGCGGCGGCTGGGAGCGAGGGCACCTGAGGAGGGAGGAGGACGCGCGTGGACTGAAAGTGGGGAAAGAAGAGGCAGGCCGGCGGGCGGGCGCCCTGGCCCGGGGGTCACGAGCGCGGGAGCCGGGCGAGGTGGAGCTGGGCGGCGGCGCGGGCTGAGTCGAGGGAGGAGGGGAAGGCGGAGGCGCGGGGAGCGTGTTTGGGGCGCCGCGGTTGGGAGGGTGGCGGCTGCCGGTGCGCGCGGGGCGCTGTGTGTGCGCGCCTCCCCGCTCAGCGAGGAAGATGGCCCAGAAGGGAAAGTTGGGGTGACGCGCGCGGCCCCCGGAGGCTCGGCTGGGGGCACCGCGGCGAGCCCGACGGAGCGACGGCCAGACAGGCCGGGGGGTGGCGCGCAGTCCGGGTGCTGCCACCGCTGCCGAGGCGCCCGCCCCCTCACTGCAGGTGGCCGCGGGTGCGCTGGGTCCGGGCGCCGGGGGCGCGGACGGGCGCGCGGGGGAGCCCGGCCAAGGGATGGGCTGCGCCCCCAGCATCCACGTTTCGCAGAGCGGCGTGATCTACTGTCGGGACTCGGACGAATCCAACTCGCCCTGCCATATCACCAGCGTGTCGCAGGGCCCCGCAGCCCCCCAGCCCGGCCTCTTCGTCCAGACCGACGCCGCCGACGCCGTACCCCGGAGCCGCGCGTCCGGACCCCCCAGCGCCGCTCGGGTCCGTAGGGCCCGCCGCGCAGAGCTGGGCAGTGGCAGCAGCACCGACTCTGCGGCCCCCACGGGGACCACCTGCAGGGGCCGGAGGCGCCACTGCTGCAGCAGCGCGGAGGCCGAGACCCAGACCAACTACTCCAACGTCAAGGTAAACGCAAGGCACAGGCACAAGCTGGTGGGGGGCCGTCCGCCCCGTCTGTCCAGTTTGCACGGGTAGGGGGCTCCAGCGGAGTTGAGTGGTCGTGATGCGGTGGGGTTGGGGCGGTTGTCACTAAGGAGGAGTTTACTTTTCATTTGTGAGGGTGATGAGGGTGCAGGAAATCAGAGCCGAAAAGATGCGTGGAGGGATCCTGGGAGCTGGTTCTGGGGATATGGGTGGAGAAGGAAGCGCAGTGGGAAGCCGCGGGCTGGTCGGGTTTTCACTGAGGGGAGGAAGGCCGTGACTTGGTTAATGCGAGAGGAGGGGTGGCGAGTTGGATTGAATGAAATCTGAGCACGGGCTCAGATTTGCGTGTCTCGTAGGTGAATGGTGCAGACCGGGTGCAAGGTTACCCTAGTTACTCCCATTACAATTTTTACCTGGGGAAAGCAGCCCAGGTGCATGGAGCCTTTGAAGCAGGCGGTGGGGCTTTGTGAATGAATGAGGGTGTGTTTGCTGGGAAACCTAGGAAGAAAACGGAGGAAGAGAATCAGAGTGGAACCTGTTGTTTATCCCTTGTTTGGGTTGGCTGCACCCTGGACATAACTGAGGGAACCTGCCCTGAGTTTGAAGGGTCAGGGGAGCTGAGAGAGGGGAATGAGTTTCCAGTGCAGGGCAGCTGTCTGACTGTGAAGATTCTGCACATGCATCTCATTTTTTAGGAGGGTGGAATTGTGAGGAAGTGGAGAAAATTGTTTAAATGATTAAAGCAGTCGCTAGATATTTCTTAAATGCAGAAGAAAATAGTGCCCTTCTGTATGTTCCCCAAATACTATTAAATCCAACAGGATTTTCATTGTGTTAATCTGGCCACTGGGCCCGTTATCTGTGTAGCAAACAGAATGACAATGGTACGACCCCTTGTGCAGAGGGGAAAAGGACACCTCCATGACTCTTAATGTTAGATAGAATCATAGCTTGTACATGGTCAGTGCAGTACCAGGAGCCAATCCACGACTGTATGTTTGATACTTGAAAAGTTGTTCAAAAATTGACCTTGTGTGAGGAGACTCCTAGTTCTCAGTGGAGGGGTGAAGACAAGGACTGCCCGTGCTGGCTTCAGTCTGGAAGACCAAAAGCTTCTTTTAGTGAACTTATTTTAGCTGCATCTGGTTTTGTAACATGAAGAGTAACTGGGTGGCTAGTTATAGTTGTAGGATTTCTTTGGTAATAATTATATAATGCAATATAATATAATCATAATAAAAACCATCATTTATTGAGCACCTACTATATTGCCAAGTATAAGCTTTCTTTCCTAGCTTTTGAAAGTGGACCATGTTGCGATGGAATTTCCAAAGACCAGAGACCTGGATACATGGCAGTGCAGCCTCCCCAATGAGCATTTGTTATGGAAGCATGTGCTGAACACTGTTTTTCTTTGGTCAAGTTTTTGTTTTGTTTTGTTTGACACACCGGTTCACGTAAAGTTAGCACTATTCAGGGGTATTCAGGGGAATACCATTTTATATTGGTGAAATAATTAAATTGGGATGTTATCAGTAAAGAGTATCCTTTCTGCCTTCTCGTTGAAAGGAAATTTGATGACATGAAGCAGTAGTTCCGAATGGTGACAACTTAGGAATTTTGATGCTTTTCTTGGTGCCTTGGAGAAACTGTGTGTTTTGCCCTTCAGAGGAGCAGGATTTCCAATTTAGTACCTGGCAACTCTGGGTACTCCATGTTTGTTCAATGAGAGAAAGAATAATGAATGAATTCATTCCCTATGTTTTAATACTTCCCTCAAGAGGCTCCTTAGAGACCAAATGGAGTAAAAACTGGATGGAAAGTGAGTCCAAATTATTAGCAGCTAGTATAAACTTTTATAAACATCATTGCTACTTGGCTGAAGTGTTGAAAGTCTTGACCTGGATTGGAATTTAACTCGCTTTGCTTTATCAACAAGATTTCCAAACAAGAGCTTAATTCGTTCCAAGCTATTACTAGGAATGAAACTTCTGGATTAGTGAGTCAGCACTAATTTACATGTGTGAATCTCAAAAACTGTAGATTTGAAATTAAATACAAGACTAGAATTATTATTTATATAAAACCTACAGCATTATTATTACAGAATTACTTTAATATATTTAATAGTATACTGCCAGGACTTATGATGCAGTATTATGTTATTTTTTTCAGTCTTCAACGTGTTCTATACTTTTTTGTGGTTAAGGTAATTTTATAAAATCCTTACCTTTATTTCTTTTTAGACTGAGATTTCTTACACCTTAGGGGTCTGAGATAGTTGCTAGTCACGGCCTCCTGCACGCCCCTTTCCTAAAACACTCAAGTGGGAAAATAAAGTCCTTGCTGTCTGTTCCTGTGTACGGTAGTGGGTTGTAATCGTTTTTCTAAATTTCCTCTTTGTACATGAATTATAAACCATATCCTCATTATTTACTCTGTCTCTGGTATTCCCCAGAGTGCAAAAATGTGTACTTGATCTCTCTCTCTCTCTCTTTTCTAGCAATAATTCATCTCATTAAGCTTTTAGAATGATGAAGCATTATGATGTCAAATATGATGTCAATGGGAACCTTCCTGAATACCTAATTTACAAAAAAAAGTCAACATTAATAATTCATATGCAGTACAATGATATCATATGGGTTTCCATTTCTGGTAAGAAGTTAGATTTGTCCCCCAGTTGCTGTAAAAACGCAACTTCCTGACAATTTGCCTCCCTCTCGTTTGCCTTTTCACAAAGAGTACTCTAAGAGGAGAATCCTGCAGAACGCTCACTCCTGACACGGTGCCAGTTTTGTAATTCTTGCTCAGGGATCCTCAGAGGAGATGGTTGAACCTCTCTCTGGGAAGATGCGAGGATTCTTACAAATCTGTTCTCATACCAGCTGTTGCAGCTGGGAGGCATGTGAGACTAGGCGGCCAGTTGTAGAAAGTCTTTATGGACACACAGTCAGCTGTCAGCCATTCCTACGCAGGTTAACTGTTGTGTGGCTCAGGCACTGGGGGTTGTTATTTTCAAAGGATTTCATGCTGATAGACATCCCCGCCAATTCTCCCTTTCTCCTCCACTCATCATAGTGACTTGTGCACTGAGCCAGTGTTTGTGCCAGTCTCTGTTGTAGGCACGCGTGAGCCATTCAGGGAGTATCCATGCAGTCTGGTGAGCAAAGCCTGAAGAGGACAGTGAGCTTGTTGCAAAGAGTGTGTCTAAGCCAATGATTAATGACTTCTATGTTATCTGTCCCACGGTGTCCCAGAGTTAACTACATACAAAAGGAAAATCAATAGATATTTTTCTGACCTTATGGTAAATAATTGAGATTTTTATTTAGGGGAGGGGTAGAATTGTTTTGACAAATGTCAGTTTTGCTCTGAAAGTCCTTAGTATACATGAGAATCACTCGGAAGTCTTGTTAAAATACAGATTCTGGCCCCAAACTCCAGTTTCTGATTTAGTAGATTTTGGGTGGGGCCTGAGGAACTGGATTTCTGACAAGCTTCCAAAAGATGCTAGTGTTGTTGATCTGGGGACCACACTTTGAAAACCACTGCTTTTAAATGCATTGAACTGACAGTATGCTAACAGATGAATTAGGTGGGACCACCTCTGGCAGAGTGTGTGGCACCACATTGCATGTCTTGGAGGTACTTAGTCATAGCCCTGCCATCTCCACTCATGAAGTCAATCAAACCCTGAGCCTCCAAGACTGGCTGGAAAGTCTGTTAAGTGCGGAGAGCGCTGGACCATGTAGCCCACTCTGGGTTCTTGAGGTTCAACTTCCCCTCAGGGTCTTCAGGGGTGTGCAGGTGCTGATGTCTCGCTCGGCCATCGAAGACCCTCCTGTGCCTCTGCCTGCTGGAGCCGCGTCCTGCAGGATGGGAAGTTGCAAGGAGAGGGAAGAGCTTAAAATGGGGACTCACACGACACAGCCCAGACTCCTGCTCCGTTCGCAACTCATGGAGTTCTTGATAGACTTTTCACCATTATTTTTCATTTTAAAATGGAGCATAAGGTTTAGTAACCTTATGCTCCATTCCTTCCTTTACCCAAGGAAGTCTTGTAAGTTGATTTAGTAAGATCCAAATTTACTTTCTGCCATAGCTCATTTTATCACAATTTAGTCCCTCCTCTGTTTCCCAGCACAGTAATCATAGCCAGTGAGCAAATTTTCTTAATTTTCACTGTTTTCTTTAGTAGTTACATTAATTTCTAAGCCCTATCAGATAATTCTGCCATTTGACTTTGTTAAATAAGTCCTCAAAACAGAAAGTAGCATAGTGCACACTGCTAACTTTTCAGAGGTGATACTTCTCTGCTGAAATCCCACCCTGGTGCCCACCAGGCAGGACACAACATGCTGGTGAGGGCAGGGCAGGTCTTGTAGCACCAGGCTGGTGAAGAGTCAAGGCCAGGACTCAGAATAGGAGGGAAGGAGGGAGCCCTACAGAACCAGGTGGGACGACAGAGTCCAGAGTCTGGAAAACCAGCAGAACTGTGGGGAGCAGGTGGGTACTTTGGATCCAGGTAGGCAAGTAAATATGGAATTCAGGGATTCAGCAAAGGTGACAGTTTTCAAACTAGGTAGAGACTTCTAATTGGGGAACAGAAGCTATTTACTTTGTTCTGTTTGGGGGTTTGGGGTTCTCCCCGAGTGTGAAGAGCCCGGGGCCTGCTGCAGACACCTGACCTGGGTGAGGCAAGAGGAACCAATCAGGCCTTCTTACGCCCGATCAGATAGAGTCTGGACAGGAACGGAGTGCGTATCCACAAGGGTTTAGTTGACAATGAATCTAGTGACTGTTTCAGAAGTGTTAGCAGGATGAAAGAAAGTCATCGAATGCTGCTGAAGCACCCTAGGACTGAAAAGGAGAACCTAGAAAACAGGAGGGAATGGCCATGGGGACCCGAGAAGCCAAACCTGTGGGGTAGGGAAGAGCGCACAAGCTGTGATCTGAAGGAACGCAGCAATTGGAGGCTG